TGTAATGATATACAGGGCGTTCTATTTTAAAAAATGGAATTTTGGTCTGTAGCACCTACACCAAACACCCTGTATATTTAAAAATTATATCAAAATATAGCTCTCATGAACTCCTAAAACTTTTGTATGAAACATTTTTGTGTATCTTTTTCAACAAACCAGATATTGCCTGTCACATAAAATGTGGGACACCCGGTATATAGAGAGGCAATAGAAATTCGGAAACAGAGGGATAATTTTAATAGAAAGGAAGAGGCAATGAACATTAATAAAATTTGGCTACCTATAGTTAATTGTACACAAACAAGGTCAGTCATTCCAACTTGAGCACTTCGATTAACTCATCGCCTTTGATGTCTACCGCGGTAGTAAACAAAACGTCAGAACCTGCAGACTACGGCCAAAAACCCCGGAAAATAGCTTCGGCAGTTTTCTCCGGCCGTGAAAGTTTATATTCTAAAACAACACCCATGATTAAAAATTCTGTTTCAAATCTGTTTTTCCGTTTAATCAGCTGTCGCCCCCATACGAACGACAACAAGTTGAGAAACTTGTACGAGCTAAGGACTAACGAGGTCTTACCTTTTAACGTGTGATTCCTAACACGGTTGAATAATCATCCCAGCTTCAACCAGATAAATTCTCTCGAATTGCACATAATATATCTAAATATCTGAACTTTTAATATGTGTTAGGAATCACACGTTGAAAGGTAAGACCTCGTTAATCCTTAGCTCGCACAAGTTTCGACTTGTGAGGGTGGTCGTTCGTAGGGGTGCGACAGCTGGTTAACGGAAAACAGATTTAAAACAGACAGACAGATTTATATGAAACATTTTTCAATTCAAAAACATTTCCTCTCATTATTCTCTCACAAGCACAAAAATACAGTATCTCGACGCGCGTTTCGCCAACCAAGTTAGCATCATCAGGAGATGACTTCATACACTGGGGATTTCAACATAATTGAAAAAAAATAAAACATAACAATACTTAAAGGTTAATTCACGGCGCATAAAAGTAATGTTTTGTTCCAATATAATGGTGACGAGTCCTTTAATTTATTTAAATAGTTGATTTGTTCTTGAATACTAAATACATTTTTCAAGACATGGAGGTTTTTGAAAATTTCTGTGAAATAATAGATGCTCAATAGTTGAGTCATAGTTAAAACTATTCGTAGATTCATAACGAGAAATTCCATTGAGTTAAACTTAGAAATTAAAGTTGGCAACAATTCCAGTTCTATCCGCTTTTTGGCTTTCTACTTCTCCATCTTTACACGAAAAACACAGGAAACTTCTGACGGATGGAAAAAAACAGTTCAAAATAATTCTTTCATAGATGTGAAGATCATGCATAGAACGTACTTTCTTCCTTCCTTTGAAAGATTCCCATGTTTGTTGAAGATGGAGAAAGCCAAAAAGTTTTTTCCCACAAACCCCTTCTATTGACTGGGAAATCGTATAGCATCTGTTTTGTCGGAATCGAAAAATAACTGTGATGCCTATCCAACTGCAGAACCATATTTATCTTTCATTGTTTTGTCATCTGGTGCTGAGACAATTCAGAAAAGTCATCAACATAATGAATTCCAGTATTAACAGAACATCTATATTGTATTGGGTCCAGAATAGACCTTTGTGGCACACCCATACCTATGCTTAGAGGCTTAGATTTTAGTCTTTGGGTTTCATTACTTTCATCTCTTGCGGAAAGACACCTTTTATGAATGATAGATTGATCAGGCATGTTAATGGTTTTATTTTTACTTTTACTTATCCCTTCAAGCTAGCGTTATCAGGAGATGGACTATACTGTTCTTCCATATTGCTAGCAAATTTTCTTGGCTGTAAGATCATTGGATTGTCAACGATTTGATTTTTTCAGTTATAAATTATATATCCTCCAGGTATAAAACTGTTGATTTAGCCAAATATTGCCACTGAATGTTTTTTAATTGGACTTTTTTTTTTCAGAAAATAATGTTTTGCGATTCACTGTGCTGTGGTCTCCGTCCCGTTTTACTCAACTCAAATGTTATTTTTACCTCATTTTAGTGATTTTTTTATTTATAATTTTATATAAGTGCTTCATCTGTCCAAAGTACTCAAGAATAGTACGAATAGTGAAAGGTCCATAAGAAACAAACTAGAGAATACAAAGTTTTTTTCAAAAAACATTCAAGTTGCTTGAAGAAAATCTGATTGGTCTGTCCCCATGATCGTCGTTTCGACCTCAATAGACCTCTTCATAGGTCATTGACCTCTTTGATGACCGGGCGATTTTCTTCGAGAGATAATAAAATGTTTTCTGGAAAAAATGGAACCCTAGCCTTATCATATTTTTATATTTTGTCTTTAATTATGTCACGTGCAATATGAATAGTACAAAAATTATAATACCATATTTTTGAAAATAAATATATTTATAAGTCAGTTTAGTTTTTCTTTGATTAATTACACTTCCATCTTTTTCTTCAGAAATATCTACAAAAATATTTTCCATTACATGTATGTGTCTGGATATATCTCAAAAATAAATATGGTTAACTTTTTAGTTTGATGTTCTTTAAAAGCTTGTTTTTAAACTATATTTATTTTTTATTTTCGTATGCTATAAAAGCGTGTTTTTTAGTCTTTTTAAACTAGTTATTTTATTGAAACTTTGGGATCAATCAGCCGTATATTGTTTAGAAAAATGACCATTGATATTTTCCGATTCCGGGGAGGAAGCCTGAAAATCAGCTACCAAGCCCAAAGCAGCAGGCGCGCAAAGGAGAGTTACAAATAAGGTAGCAGACGCGCGTGTTAATAAAAGAAATACTTTTTTTAAATGAAGAAACATGTACAATGAGTTCGAATTATATCAAGGAGTTTACGTACACCGCCATCTGCACGCGAATAGATCAAGCAATAACGTCGATGTATTAAGGAGTTTACGTAAACAGCCATCTGCCCGCGAATAGATCAAGCAATAATGTCGATATATCAAGGAGTTTACGTACAGCGACATTGCCCGCGAATAGATCAATCAATAATGTCGATATATCAAGCGCCATATATCAGCGCCATCTGCCCGCGAATAGATCAAGCCATAATGTCGATAATTCTGTGAAGTATCACATTGAAAAAATGAGTTACCATGGTGTCCAGGGCATAGCGCTCAAATTCTTCCAGTCTTATTTCACAAATAGGAACCAGCTTACAACTAATGACGTGAGATAGCGAAACATCAGCATATCATTGGTTTGCTGCTGGTAAGCTGACTCAAAATATAACTGTATCTTCCAATCCAAATATTCATCCAACAAAGAGTATAAGTTTATTAGGATTCCTTATTGATAATGGATTGAGCTGGTCTGATCATACCAAATCTGTGACTAGCAAACTTTCTAGTGTTTTGTTTGTTCCGAGACAATTGAATAATGTGGTCAGCTTGAAGATGATCACTTGGTGATCGAAACACTTGTCGAGGTGTTAAAATAACAGTTTGGTGTTGGCATAGAACTCTAGTAATATTTACTACTACACCAAAGTTTCCAAAGAGTGCATTACAAGTAGACATTGTGATATTCGAGCATATAAAACGAGATCCGCAAGTTTATTGAACCTGTCCAGAAATAAACAATTAGAAAGAGAAATTCTCTAAACTCAAATTCGTATAATAATAATAATAATTGTCTTTATTACTACAACCACACAAAAAAAATAACAATATTAAGTTCTAACTACATACAGTGTGACCCATTTTTAATGGAAACCCCCCTAAAATTTGAAGTTGTGAATCGATTTTAATAATTTTTTTTTCAAATGTAAAGTACTAAAAGGTCTACCTTGGGACAAAATTTTAAATGTTTATTAAAGTTTCAGGGCATACTACGATATTTTTTCTTAGTCAAAAATCGGGATTTTTCATTAGCGATTTTTTTATTGAAAAAATCACTACGCCACTGGATTCAGAGTGCCTCTAAACAGGTGTGACCCAAATTTCACGATGCCACAAGTCTTCATAGTT